TATGAAAGCTGTAGCAGATGATCTAGATACTGACTAGTCACAGTAGAACACCTTCGTTTTCACAGTCATATGTCACTTCAAAAACTGATGCCTACTGTGAGGATTCTAAGGCTACCTATGGATTTTTGAGTGTAACTAAAAAATTCGAGACCTTTTGCACATTCTCATCAGGCTTGCTACCAAAGTTCTCCTGCTGTAGTTTGTGAGGTTTAGTTCACCAGTGCATGTCATGCAGGTGTTGTGCTTTCAGGCAGGGGCCAGAGGAATGCCAACTGTGAGAGGTGTTTGAGAATGCTGGGCAGGATTACCGAATCCTGATGGTGGGAAAGCCACGGTGTTGCACTGTAGCGCGGCAGGGCCGCGCTAGTGCAGGGGCATTCCTGGAAAGCAATAAACCAACTGGAGACTAAATTACATAACGTTAATCAAGTTACACCTTGGAGGTGACAGTTACTCAATAAGCAAGGCCCAAACGTCCCAAGCCTTATTAACCTCTTACATTAAAGACAGAGTGAAAAATCAGCAACTACCTGCATAATATCTGTGTAGATGGAGTGAAAATATATGATGGTTAGTGTAATTACTGAATAAAGTTTCTGGCTAAGGGGTCAAAAAGTTAGAAAAGGGTCTGGGGAGGTGGGATTCCTCAACTCCCCGTGCTGCCACTGATTTACTGCGACCCTAAGCACCCACTTTGCCTCTCTACAGCTTCGTGAGACGAATCTTTTCAGGGGTACGCGAGACAGACCAGTGAATTCATTAAACTGGTTACTTTGGTAGAGGTTATTACGACTCAGAATAACTCCAGTTACAAAGCAGCTGAGGAAATTACACTGCTAGATATGTTGTTCCTAGTACCAAGAACTGAGATTAAGCTTGGCTGTTGGGATTTCTAAGAGTGCTGTTGTTCACTTAACAAAAGCTCCACAGATTTGTTACCAAAAAAGACTTTTTCAGTCCTAATCTGGGCATGGGGTCCTATATATATTGTTAAATATAAACCCGATTATCTCCAGTGAAAATTAGTACCAAACAAGTAGAAACTAATGGTTTTTTACTTAGGTCAAAACAATTCTAAACCAGATTACTAGTAACAAAATAACTTGTTAGAAGTGAAATATTAACACCTCAGTTATAAACAAAGCAAAAACTTTAATGTCTAAAAAACTTTGAAGTATCATCTAAAGCATCTAACTGGAAGAGCTTGAAAATGTAAATTTCACACATTAAACCCAAAACTTAAACATAGAGTAACTATTATACCTTTACCAAAGGTAACAATCATGAGATTGTAAAGCCTTCTACTCTTTAAAACCAATGTTTCAAAATCATTAATCGAAGTGGAAACTAGGAATCATAAAGGCATTTTCTCCTTAAGTTCTTCTTGCTCTGAATCACGTCTATACAACTTTTAGCCTGAACATTCCAAAATACACGTTTTCTTGCAGAAAGAGGCAGCAAAATTTTGTTTTGAATAATACAAAGTAGGATTCAATGTTTTTAATGCTTTTTCAACACTTTGACACGGTCAGAGCCAACACCCACCCTGCGTGGGTGGTTGTCCATGCTGGGCCACCACCACGTGACTGGTGGTGGCCGCGGCAGCACAGCTTGGAGTGCACTGAAGTGCCCCGCTCCCGGGGAACCCCCTGGGTGGAGCTTTTCCTGCCGGGATTGCCAAGGTTCATTGGGCTGGTTGGGCCTGGTGTGGCTGCATTGGAAAGAGAAGGGGATGTGAGAGAAACAACTATGCAGACGCTAAGGTCAGTGAAGATGGAGCAGGAGGAGGTGTGCCAGAGCTGAGATTCCCCTGCAGCCCGTGGTGAGATGGCAGCAGCCCCCCTGCAGCCCACATTGATTAACAGTGAGCAGAGATCCACCCGCAGCCCGTGGAGGACCCCACATCAGAACAGGTGGCTGTGCCCTAAGAAGTACAGGCTCCATGGGAAAGCCTGCACTGGGGCAGTCTGATTAAGGATAGCATCCTGTGGGAAAGGACCCCATGCTGGAGCAGAAGAATGTAAGGAGTCCTCCCCCTGAAGAGGAAGGAGCAGCAGAAACAACGTGTGACAAACTGACCATAACCCCCATTCCCGTTCCCCTGCGCCACTGGGGAAGGAGGTAGAGCCGGGAAGAAGAGAGAGGTGGAGGAAAGGTGTTTTTAAGATCTGGCTTTGTTTCTCATCATCTCTGAAGTAACTGGTAACAAATTAAATTGATTTGTCTCCAGGTCAAGTCTGTTTTGCCCGTGACCATAACTGATGAGTGACCCCGCCCTCTCCTTGTCTTGACCCTCCTCTCCATCCCACCCAGGGGATGGGTGTGAGCAAGCAGCCGCATGGCGCTTAGCTGCCGCTTGGGCCTGAACCACGACATTAACAAATAAATTTATCACTGTTTTGCCTGGTGTAATTGAGTTATCACTTGATAAACATGTACATGTAGGAGGTGGGTTTTCTATTCCTCAAATAATGGAATGGTGATGGAGTTTTTGAGCTCCACTTCACAATGAAGGCTTGTGGTTTCCTGAGAGGAGGAGTTCATTCAGGTGATTCACATACTCTGACAGCGCTATTCTTTATTATAATGTCCTTGGACTATTCTTTTCCAGAAACAAACAATTGTGGTGATCGCATCCAAGGGAGATGCAAACTGTAAGTAACTTATAGCCAAAAGGCACAGAATATGGAGTTTACTAGGCTCAGCCTTCAAAAGTGGAGGGGGATTTCACTGCTTTGTAAGTACGAAGGAAAAATGGAAAGATAGGAGAGAAGTAAGCTAAACAGGACAGTGTTGGTACAGGAACAAGCTGATAATAAAGTAGTGCAGTCTCCGTAAGTAGGACTTTAACGTGAAGTACTCTTGCTGGTCAGGTAATGACAGTCCTACTCGACCTCTCTTGCTTTATAGATCTTTTTCTGAGCAGTCTCAGCTCTTCTGGCAAAGATGGTAAGAGCCAACAAGAAAATACCTAATATTTTAGGCAAAGATTTGAAGGCAAGCTCTCAATAGCCTCCTAAATCTTGCACTAGAAAACACCAGTATCTTCTTGCAGAAGGACTTGAGATATACCCCTTGAAGTCATCAGATGTCTGTCATGCCTCTGATCCAGTGGACAGCCCCCTTTTATTAAGTCTCCATGAGCAACTTGTAGCTACCTGCAAGTAGCACCACTCTGACACTGGAAAAGCCTCTTCTGTTTTAAGTCCTTCTTTTCTTTATGACTATGCTTCAGTTGTATAATGGTTTTATATGAGAACTCTATGCAACTACTGGTTCTTCATTTCATTAGGCCCTACAACATCTTGACTATAACTTCAGTATTTACCTCAAGGATTTCCTCTGTGTATTGACTTCTTCAGCTCCTCTGAGTACTTCATTACGCATTATTTACCTCTTTCATGATTCTTACCTTTTAAAACAAATGGTACAATAGAAACGATCAAAGATTTTTTTTAAGGCTAGGCTGCAATGGCAATAAAGCTTCCTCAAACTGAAGAAGTCCGATGCAGGCATTTTTCTGTTGCAGATGTTTTTCACAGTTTGAATTTTATGGAACAGATTTTTGAATATCCCTCTTCTCTTTTCAGATTCCCCTATTATACATAAAATTTACCAGTCTACCTTGATACTCCGAGTGTTACCATCTTTGCTCAAAGTAGAGCTTCACAAGGGACTCGTCACACATCTCATCCTGATGCATAAGCTGGATCACACTAGTATCTTTTAAAGGCACAGGCTTCATTTACATATACTCTAGCATGCACTCTGAGGGATGTATAAAAGTAATTAATTAACTAAGCTCCATAGTTTATGTAGACTTCTGGAATGATTTCATGTTTCCAAATACAAGAGAATGTTCTGTGTCTTGAAGGAGAGCCAAATGTTTTATGAAAAGTGGGACTTTGCCACAAACAAAGCACATGGATCCAGTCTTCCAGTTTGGAGCATTACAGAAGCTCATCAGAAACGAGAGTCTGAATTTTGCTCATTTTCTGCACTTATTCCTCCACACCTCCAATGCACATATATAAAGTTTTAGGTCAGGGTGATCACCTGTCATATCGTGCAGAGCTGGTGCCCATGGAAAAATGGTGTCTTGAAACTGTACTATGAAGAGAAGGCAGTTTAAAAGGTGAATCCACTTGCACAGGAGAAAAGATCCCTCTTCAGCAACAAACGTGAACATCTATTAAAGCAGCCTAGAAACTAGGCACCATCACAAAGAGGCTGAGGTAGCCCAGGACAACATCTATTCTAGACTGAAAACCATTCACAAAATCAATTAGCAGTTCATTTTTTAATTAGATTTAGATTTATACAAACAAACAACAGAACATTCTGGGGAAGTATAGGCACATATTGCCACAGAAGGGTCTCCTATAGTACAGACAATGGCTACCAATTCTTTCCTTTCCCAGCCTGCTTTTTGTGCAGCGAAAGCAAAGTTCAGACTCCAATGAACCCAAACACGAATTATCTTAATTCCATTTTTCTTTTCAAACAGAAGGAGGAAATTACTTGCTACTAAAGATGTTCAGACTAGTCATTTTGCAAACGCTGCTATGAAGCTGATCAGAAGGGAATGTGCTGCAGCATAATTGCCCTATTTCAAAGCATTATCCCATAATAACGATCTGCAGAATGGCTGTGCTGGGTTGAGAGGGAGAGTGCTACATCCAGCATGCACCTCAGTAAACGCACATCCCAGAGAGAAGCACCCTGGCGGAAGGCAGCCCATTAACCAGCTTGAGCCTGTTAGATCCTAATTTCAGGACAGAGACGGCACTTGCTTCACTGACTGCAGCTATTTGCTGTTTCCAATTATGACCCTTGTGATTAAGCCAAGCTCTTGTGTCCTCAAATCCTTTTCTGAAAAAGACCAGCTTTTGTTCAACAATGTATTAGGAAAACACTTTTTGGCATCGGCCCAAAGGAATGTTTAAGTGTTAGCTTTTCAAAAGCCATCTTATTAACTCAATAAAGAAATCTCTTCTCATTTTAGTTTGTTTAAACAGAAAATATGCTGCAACTTATGAGAGCCATAGGTAGAGAATACTTCCCTCCCTTGCTGCTGGAAACCCTGCCCTTGAGTATTCATTTGTTTGCAACAGCAGAAAGTTGGTCCCGGATCCTTCCTAGACCTTCTAACATAGTGTCCAGGGTTTCTTTGCTCAGTTCCACAGTCAGTGCAGAAACAACAGGATTATCTCCGCATAAGTCAACATCTTCCTGAATCTGAAAACAAGAATGCAGACGTTAGCTGTATGAAAAATTCATTCACATTCCACTACGAAAGTCAGTGTTTAACAGACAGATTAAGAAAAATGCTTTAAATTTGGCATCCAGCTCCATCCTGAAGGACCACGGCACATTTTCTAAGCTGTGTGCCTCGCTAGTGAAGTGTGCTCCCATGACAGAGTGCAAATAAGGATATACTGCCATGAGTATGGGGAAACTCTGGAGACTCCTGGTAGGAAGCCACATCCATATCAGCAGCATCTTAGCAGATACTGCACAGGATACTTAACCCCATCTCACACACAGAAATTAGATTTTCTTTCCTCCTCCTCTGAAACCCACCCATCCCATTTTTACCAGTTGGGGGGATTCAGAACTCTGGAGAACGTAAGCAGTAAGTTTAGCTATATTCCCAAATGATAGATGTGGCCAGTGAAAGAAGTTACTAGTAATCAAAAGTCATTTCCCAACTAATGCAGCCAGCTAAACATCCTGATGAATGGCTCAGAACTGAAGGGTGACAACTTCGTAATTTATCTTCTTTCTTTCTGCAAAGAACAATGGTGACCAGGAACACATGTGCTGCCTTCTCACATCCTCATGCCAAGAAAACTCTCCCTTGCAAGAAAAAGAGGGCTTTCATCAGAGACATCATTCCCAGGCTTTGTGGTATTTTCAAGATGATCTCTGAGAAAGTCTGCTAATTGCCCACCAGGCAACAGGCAAGCTCCAGATGCCTATCTGAACTGGTTTGCACTAGCCCTGGTAAGGCAGGTGTTGGACTTGATGATTTTGATCCTGTACCGTTTACAGCCACTGACATGACCTTTAACTGAAGCAGGCAAGTAGGGACTGCCGTTCTGCTGATGTTGTCTGAAGACATCTTGATGTCCACCCTCCAGTCCATGTCGACCAGCCGAGGCAGGGAGACTGAGGGATTAAAAAACGGGTGTTAGGCCCACCAGCACATGATGACACCAGACCCTGGCACCTGTGACTACCACCATGTACATGCTTCTTCACTTCTGGCCTTGGGAAGCGTACAACTTTAGTGCTACTACGTAGTTTCACACCACTTTTACTTGGAAATAAGCCAGTCTCTGAAGACCTCCTCATAACCCTGGCAGGACAAACAGGGTTCTCCCATCATCACACGCAAGGACGGTACGGTGCATAGGTAAATTGACAAAGCAGCTGGGAGAACAGGAGCGGTGAGGTGTCTTCTCCACCTCTTCATCCCCTGCCTTGCTGCCTGCAACACTCAACTAGTATTTCACCATGAGCCGCTCTAGTACCTACATGCTTATTGCTCTGTTCTGTAATTGATAAGAAAACACACAGGAATGCTCCTAAAATCCAGCAGTATAAAACACATTACTTCAAGCTCCCTAACCCATGAACCAAAGCATCCTGCAGTACAGCATATGTACTGGTAAACTGCAATCTTCACACACTGTCATGGTTTAACCTGGCCAGCACTAAACGCGAAGAGCTCACACTCCCCTATCCCCAAGGAATGGGGAAGAGAATTAAAGAGGAAAAGAGAAGGAGACTCATGGGTTGAGATAAGAACAATTTAATACCAAAAATAAAATAAAAGTTTCAATTATTAAAATAATAATAATGTATGATAATATAAAAAATGATAATAATATATACAAGCAAGTAATGCACAGTGTAATTGTTCACCACCCGGTGAGCAACACCCATCCCATTCCATCCCAGCAAGCGATCCCAAAACAGGTAAGTCCCAAAACCACAATCCCAGAAGAGCAAAAGGCCCGAAAAGAGAGCAAAAGATAGAATTCCAATAAACCAAGAAAAGACCAAACTTCCTGGCCAAGCCTCATCTATGTACTCAGCATGACGTTGCTTGGTATGGAATATTCCATTGGCCAATGTGGCCCTCAGTCCTAAGTCTAAACTCAAATCATAAACTAGGAGTTGTGGGTCCTTTGTTCCAGCTATGCTCCCTCCCAGCCTGTTGTGCACACTGGCAAAACATGGGAAGCTGAAAAGTCTACAGGGTGCCTGAAGAAACACTGTTCCTGTTTATGTCAGCTAGGGATTTTCAAAGAAATCTGGATATCAACATTGGACCAATCTTCTAAAAGATCTGTAGGGAAGTGATTGTTTGTTCTCAAACTCAATTTAAAATTTCAGCTGTGGTGCTTGGTAGGTTTGAGTGTCTTTGCGAAGCCTTACCAAACCTGGTTGACAGCAGTTGCTTGTTATCTATTTAAGGGTACCAGAGAGAGATAAAAAGGCAAAGAATAAACCTCTGTGAAGTGCTAAGGAAAGAGTTGTTTCAACAGGCAACTGCAGCCTCTCTGGATTCTGCCTCTCATGAGAGGCCTAGTTTCCTCCCTAAGGGTCGATCGCTAGCCATCCTACTGACTCCAGATGCTCAAGTTGCTTCCTAACAGTGCTTAGAGAAATTTCTGTTTGGGAAAGGTTGTCTCTGCTCCTCCTGCTCCCCTGAGCAGAGCTCCAGGGGACAGTGCAGAACGGGCTGCCTGGTTCTTGCTTTTGGAATAAATGCCAGTTCACAGCCTGTAAGAGCCAGCACTTGGCAGCATTTGCAACAACATAAAATGCATCTGTTTAGCCTTGTATGTTAATTTGCAAGGATTGATTGCTGGTGGCTTGGGAGGGGCAGGAAGCCATCCACATTTTTATGTTAACATAGATCAATCAGCTGGAATGTCTGTTCTTTAAATCCTTGCCTTAGTCTCTATGTAATGTATGTCAGATATTTCATGAATGCAATAGTAAAATAATGCATAATTTCCTAGAAAACAATCTCATTCTAACAGGGTTAAATATTCACCTAAGGAGTACAAAGCCACGAGTGTCAGAGCAGAGCTCTTGGGTGGTGCTCCAAGAGCCACACACCCAGCCCTGCTCCTGGGTTGTGAAGATGGAGTTAGAGTGTCACGCTAGTGTGTCATGGTTGCTCGCGTTTCCTTTAACGCACAATAGTATTAAGGACACAGGAAAAAGCATTGTGTGTCTTGGCAACACCACAACATTGTTTAGTGTAAGCAACTGCTGTATTTACTGCATTAGCATTATGCAATAGCTTCTTCCCTCTCCCTATTCATACTCCATTAAAACTCTGAGGGACAGTGTATTTCCAGATCTTGCCATACCGTCTTACTGGTGGACGTTATCTCCTCTGCAGGTACAGAAGAGGGTAAAGAGGATCCATGCAGATCTCAAAGCACTCTGTTATGTATGGGCTCTCATTTGTAAGCCTCTAAGTGCTACAGTTGTAAAGAATACCTCTGGGGGAGAAAACAAAGCGGTGCAGCTGCACGGAACACCTAACTGGGATGTAACTCATTGCCCATGATGCTATTGTTAAGAGTTTGCATTCCTTAATTACATCACTGTTTAGAAAGGTGAAGAAATAGCAGAGTAATGAATATATACAGTGTATTTCCTGACGCACGGAAGAGAAAGAATGCACAGAATTGACTAGATGTGCAAAGACAAGGTATTCTCCAATACACGCATACCCTTTACAGGCAGTTAATGAATATGGACATCATTTAATGACCTGAATGGGGAGGTCAGAGTGCATCACTTCCAAAAGTTTTGCAAATACTTGCTATACTTTGCAAGGGAGCAACAGACCGAGCATTAAATGGAATTGCTTGAGAACAGCAGCACAGATCTGAGTACAAGCTTGTCAACCTCTGCTAAGCTCTGCAATACCACATCAAACAGCTTGATCTAAGGCAAACGGGAGTATCCCTGTGCTACGTTACAAAACCACGTTGAGATGCACTACTCGAAGCTTCAACGATCTCAGGAGACATTAACTGCATCAATATGTGAACTACTACTTACTCTGACTTGCTTGTGCTTCATTCCTCCACGCAGAGCTGTGAAAAAGTGGAGAAGAGGAAAACAGTATTAGCAGTGCTTTGGGGGAAAAAAAAAAATAAGCATTCAGAGTGGCTTATCCCTGACAGAAGGGTCACCAGGGCTGCAGCAGTAAGCAGGGAACAGCGACTGCCTACGCTGCTGAGTGCTGAAAGGAGGCTGTCGCTGGTGGGCAATGGTAGGCAAACTGGTGAGCAGCTATTGGTTCTTCCGTAAGTGCAGCTTACTTATGGCATGTACCATTCCCCCCAGTTTTATCAAAACAACAGGCTACCAAGCAGTGAGATGTACAAGCATGCAGAACTGCTATCCTCTGCCACCACCTCACCTATGCTCCAATGCATATAGTGCCTCCTCTCCCAAGCCAAGGTGGTAAGTGGATGAGCACCCGGATGCTACCTGATCAGATTTTCTGTGCGGAAATCCAGCCCTCTGAGTTTTATTGTCATCTGTAGCATTTTTGCACCACACTGGTGAGTTGTTAGGATAAAAAGGGCTTTGCTTTATGTGAATGATGCCCACACCCATTCCAAAAGTCTTGGGAAACCCCTCTGTGCCCATGGTTGTGGTTTGTTTGCCATGCCACTCAGACGACATATTTCATTCAACTCTGCTCATCCCAACCTGTGTAATTATGTGGATTGTGACTGCCCCATTCCTGGAAGCATTCAAGGCCAGGTTGGATGAGGCTTTGGGCAACCTGGTGTAGTGGAGGGTGTCCCTGCCCATGGCCGGGGGGTTAGAACTAGATGAGGACCCTTCCAACCCAAGCCATTCTATGATTCTATAATTATGACCAATGCACACACAAAACTCACAGAAATGAGACTTTGCGTGCTGCCAACCATCCCCATATCAAACTACATACACAGGCTTCAACTTCCCAGCTGAAAGCAAACAGCAAGCGGGTGGCACTCACACATTCTCCAAGATGATCTTAGTCAAAAGGTTCTTCAGATTTTGGTGGAAGTTCTCTGGAAAGAGGGCGAGGATATCTTCTGCCGTCGCCAAGCCGCGGTACACGACGTGCCTGGTAAGGCTGTGCAAAGCAGACACCAGCTGTGGGGAAGGGAGAGGCAAAAGGGCTCCGCTCAGGCGGGCACGGCCCGTCCTCCCGCCTC